CTTTGAAATTATCCATAGCTGTCTGTCTGAGACTAGGGGGCTGAGTACTCACGTCAGCTGTGTGCTTGGCCATTCAGTGGTATTTCAGACTCGACGTGCTATGACGATAGCTCAGTTTACAACTGCAAAACATACAGGTAACTTTGGTCTTGTCAGTGGAACAATCTGGCAATTTTTTAAAAGTAAACTTTCCATTCATAAACTCTTAAAGTATCCGTTTTCGGTGTCTCGCGCTGCCGTGGCTGGCAAAACAAACGTGCGTGGACATGTGCAGAGCGCTTGTTGTTTTGTTTCTGGTTTATTTATAGAGCAACGTAACATCCGCTGTGACGTCTGCCGTGTTAATCTCGCGAGAAAAAATTTAATCCCGTTAAAATTAATTTAAATTAATGCCAATAAAAACGCGCTAAACTGACAGCTCTAATAATAAATGAGATTTTGCAATAACTTTGTTTCCCTGTTTACCTTCACTTCTACACAATAATTGACTATTGTAGTTGACTGATTTCAAAACTCGTAATAGATTAAATTTGGTGTGTACAAGTAATAATGCGATGAGACAACATTTTTGTGGTTTCACTGCCAGCCCTGTGAAGGAAGACGTAACTCCAAAGTGGCCCGCGACAAAAATTAATTTGACACCCCTGCTCTAAATCTTCATACGATAGATTAGTTGAAGATACATTTTTAGAAAATGTGTTAATTTCTGGACTAGGTCGATTTTTAAATAATGCTGAGTTCATTTATAGATTCATTTTATGGAGGTTTGTGGAAAAAAAAAAAACATGTTGGCTTTTTGAGCTTAATTAGCCAATGACGTTCAAGGGAGCAAACACATACGTCAGGTGTACTCCTTCAGACTTGTTCGCGATGTTTCCAAAAATGTCTTCGGTTTCCGTGAAAACACACTCCTGCGGTAGCTTTTCGAAAAACTGTTTTGTCTTTGATGTTGACAAAGATTAGATTGTCGAGGGCTAAATTCTATTTCTATTCTCTTACCGATCAGTGCTGTTGATTAACAGGTGGTCAGTCCAGTGCGAATAGCTTTAAATCAATGTTTAACCCATCTTTCACCAGAAGCCCCCACGTGAACGTGTCACAGGCCCCCTCGCCCTCCATGAAGAAGAGGAAGGTTTCGCTCATCTTCGACCACATGGAGGCCGACGAGATGGCAGAGCACCTCAGCTACTTGGAGTTCAAGAACTTCTGCAGCGTTTCGGTGAGACCAGCCACCGACTTCAGTATTTATTTTTCTAACTTTAGTTGTCAAAATGGATATGATAAAATGGATAAATTCCTTTTTACTTTTGTCCTTCAGGGAAATTCAGTCCGTACGCTTTAACGGTAATAGGTACAGAGAATTGCCGCAAAAAAATATTCTCAATATAATCGGCTAAATTTTAAATCCATATCCAAACTATGATCGTACAAGTTTACTCTAATAGCTTACAGATGATTTGATTTTGAAAATATGGACCAGCAAAAACACATGAGGCTAACATAACACCACTTAGCGCTTGCCCCACAGACCAAAATCTTCATCAAGATTAATCAAGTCAATATATTTTTAGGACCAATTACTACGTTACCATCAGCCTGGGCTTTGGTGCTATCTTGTGGCATCTTAAGGAATTCCTGACAGAGCATAAAAATGTGCCACTTGAAAGCTTTTACGAATATCAGAGGATAGGTTCCACAAAAAAGTAACACACATAGGTGAATTTGTGAAGAGCAAGCCTCGACCGACTACAGGGGCCGTCCTTTTGTTGACAGGCGCAGGTGTGCTCAGCGTAAAAACTGGTGAATTATTTAATGCTAATTTTGATAGTGGCTGTCACACAGATGCACGATCTGATGTGGAAAGCGGTCTCACAGTGGCCAACTTTACATCACCGCACTGTATTTAAAGGGAAGAAGGGGAGGCCCTTCGATTGGGCGGAAATCAAGTAGTTCGTGTTCGCTCCCACAATAGTGCAGGCGGCCATTTTCTAATTACAGGAAAATTACAAAAACACCAGAAGAAATACAACTTCACTCATTCTCACAGTTAAACTGCACTTTGTGCTACACTTGCGCTGGGCACGAAAATAGGGCCCCAGCAGTTGAACCGGTATGGCAACTTCTTTTTTTTTTTTTTTTAATCTCTACTTCTGCTTCAGTACCTAGTGTCAATATTGTTGTCACTTCTGATCATTTCAACATGTGTTTGGTCAGTTCCTGGACTACCGCAGCTATGTTGTGCGCGGCTCGGTGCGGGACAACCCGGCTCTGGAGCGCTCCGTCATGATGTGTAACGGCGTATCCCAGTGGGTCCAGCTCATGATCCTCAGCAGGCACACGGCCCAGCAGAGGGCGCAAGTCTTCACCAAGTTCATCCACGTGGCTCAGGTGGGCCACAAGCGAGTCATATGCAATTTCTTACTTCTGCGTGTTATTCGCGCGATAATTTCTGATGGTTTCAATACATTTGTTGTAACTATTGGCTATTTCGGCAAAGCACTTTACATAAATAAAACTGTTCAGCAAAATGGCAAAACATCATACAGTAGTTCGCTTGCAATTTAACCCTTTCAGGGACAGCGGTTACTACAGTGGACAGCTTATCATGTTATCAGGTTGCAGGGTGCATGAAAGGTCTTACTTCACTCTTCAAACTTTTGTAAAAATTGTATTTTTGTCTCAAGTCACAATCACAAGCCATCGTATGAGTAAGCACACAATGTGCCATCGACACACTTTTGGGAAGGGTGAAAAACGCACTTGTCTTTCGCTTTCTCTGCGCACAATGTGGGCTGTGTCAGGTTGAGGTCAGACTTTTGTCCTCGTTTTGTAAACACGCGGTGATCCACATTTCAAGTCTTTTTGCACAAGGTGTTTACTGTATTTACTGTAAACATCAAGAGCAAAATTGTGTTTTTCCATGTCAAAATACACACACACACACACACACACACACACACACACACACAGCAAAATAAACCTACTTATTTCACTGAGAGAAAGAAAAAACTGTCTACATTGTTTCGTCTATTGTAGCTCTGATGTCATCACTAGTTCTTTTTCTAACTCGCCTTCCTCCTTCGCCTACTTGTCCTCCTCCCTTTCTCGCTTCTTCACCTCCGTGTCTTCTTCCTGTCCCTCCTCTAATTCTCACTCTTCCTGCTCCCTCCATTGTACTCCACGCCGACAGCTTACCTGCGGCTTATTTCTCGTGCTCAGGCTGACTGCAAAGTGAGCTAATGCTCTCAAGTTTTCTCCTGTGACAGACAGTGTGGCTAGACAGTTGGCAGAATCATGTAAATAAGAGCCATATACTGTATATGCGTCTCATTTTGCAAGGAGTGTATAGATCAATTGGAAATGAACAGTGAGTTGTGTGTGGCAAAATTATACACTCACTACAGCACCGTGTTTGTGCTTTGAGTTTTGCAAACTCTGCGAGTGGTTTTGTGACGGATATGAATAGTTTTTGAAATGGTACTACAAGAATCCCTGTTCAGAGGAAACAATTGTAATACTGTAGGGGCGACCGTAAAATGTACAAACCAACTATGATGGCAAAACACTTTAACGTCATTCCAAATTCATCTTACAACATGACCCGTTGATGCGTGCAGAGACTCCGAGCCTTGCAGAACTTCAACACGTTGATGGCTGTCACTGGAGGCCTCTGTCACAGCGCCATCTCCCGCCTCAAAGACACGTACAACCTTTTGCCTCCTGACGTCACCAAGGTACCCTGATGGCTAACAGCAGCAATAAAGTCTTAGCCCCTTTCTCCGTAGACTCGATGCCAGACCAAAACAGAATAGACTACGATTAAACTAGAACTAAACTACACTCAACAAGGTTCAGCAACGAAACAAACAAGGGAAGAAAGTAGACGATAATAATAATAATAATAATACATTTAATTTATAAGCGCCTTTCAAAACACCCAAGGACACTTTACAATCAGACTACGGCATGTAGACCAAAATGAGACTAAGATGAATTGGAGGAGGCTAAACAACTGGACTGAACTAAATTAGGAGAGCCTAAACTAGGCTAGATTTAACATTACAAGGGAAAAAAAGGAGTTAGAAAAAAACTAAATAGACTACAAAATACTAGACTACACTAGGCTGCTAAGTCTAAAACTATGCCAAATATGATAGCCTAAAGACTACAAGAAACTGAATTAGGAGAGACTAGACAAGGCTGGATTAACTGGATACATCTAGTCTAAATGAGGCATTACTGGACTACACTAGTAAACAATAGACTAGTCAACATTAGACTAAATGAGACTAGACAAGGTTCATCAAAACTAATCTAGACAAGACAGGAGAGTTTGAAACAAAACTAGACTTGATGAGACGAGACGAGACAACACTGGACTAGACTTGAGTAGTCAAATCGAAACTAGATTAGAAAAGACAAGACAACACCGGACTAGTCAACCCTAGATGACAAAACAAGGATCGACAAAACTACTATAGACAAGACAGGACAGTTTGGAAAAAAACTAGACTCGATGAGACGAGACGAGACAACACTGGACTAGACTTGAGTAGTCAAATCGAAACTAGATTAGAAAAGACAAGACAACACCGGACTAGTCAACCCTAGATGAGACTAGACAAAACAACACTGCACTAGACAACACTACTACATGAGACTAAAGACAAAATGAGACCAGACAACATCCAACTACACGAAACAAAACTAAACATAGATTAAAACAGGACTGAACCGATCTAAATTAGCAAAACTAAACTAGACAAAATAAAACTAAACCGACCAAAATTAGAATAAGATACTTATCAAAACCCAGACTAGACTCAAAGTGTCTAAACCTAACAAGAGTACACAATACAAGACTGGTCTAAACTAAACTGGATTAAACCAGACTAATGTGGACTACTACTAGTGTTCATTATTTCCTGCTGTTAAAACAAGAGCCCTTTGTCACGACGTCGTCAGGCACTCAGCGAGATGACGGAGCTCCTGTCGTCACGCAGCAACTACAGCAACTACCGCCGTCTATACGGCGAGTGCTCCGGCTTCAAGGTGCCCATTCTGGGCGTGCACCTCAAGGACCTGATCTCCCTCAACGAGGCCCTGCCCGACTATGTGGACGGCGATAAGATCAACCTGAGTAAACTGCAGCATCTCCACAGCAACGTCAACGATCTCCTGGAGCTGCACAGACTCACGCCACCGTTCGAGGCCAACAAACACTTGCTGCATCTTTTGACGGTAGGAGATCCAGTCCTGAGACCAGACCCCAACGAGGAGTTCCGTTGGAACATCGCAAATGATGTCTTTAATGCTTCAGCTCTCTCTAGATCTCTACTACACAGAGGACGAGATCTATGAACTCTCCTACACCAAGGAACCCAAAAACCCTAAGATCCAGGTCAGTCACCTTCACCATCAACAAGTGTGGTATTCACAACAAGCAGCAGTTTGGCAAAAATAAATAAATAAAAATTAAAAAGCCTTCAAGCTATCTAATGCCACTCCCTGGTCACATTTCCTGTCCCACTAAACATAAAACCAAAAGAATTACTCTAGATGTGTATTTAAAACAACACAGCTTTGCCTCAGGAAAGTGTGCTAGCTTAAACCTAAGAAACAAATAAAATGCTAACAGGTAGCATCAACAGTCAGTTTTAGAACACACTTTTTTAAGGAATAGTCCAAAACGCTTCATATCAAAAAGCTTAACAGCGTTTCGTGTCCCAAAAATGTGACCACTGTTCGACCTCTGAAAATATTGGATTGAAATGGAATGGATTTTATGGACGTTAAACCTTTTATTCGCCATTGGCGCTCACTATAGAGAAGAAAAATGGTAAATGGTGCGCCCTGCGACCAATTGTCACCAAAATTTATGTGCACATCTCTAGTCATGCCCACTTCAACCTCTCACAATATTCAAACGATCTCTCCAATATTTTGGATTTCATGGGCATTACGTTTTTTTTTTATTTTTTTATTCTCCATAGCAAAAGTGTAACGTCACTTGACATCACAAAACTGCAAGCAGTCTTGACCGGCGTGTACATGGCTATGTGTACTCAAGCCTACTTCAACTGCTACAAATATGTGAACGATCAGGCAATGTTTTGGATTTTATCGATGTTCTCCTAAAACTTTGACCAGAGGTGTCAAACTCATTTTTATAGTGGGCCACATTGTAGTTACGATTTCCCTGAGCGGGCCATTATGACTGCGAATTTTGTGAAATGTTTGATCACCTCCACATATTACATGTACAGTGCATCACAAATAATAACGTGTTGAAATCAGAAGTCAAGAATAATGGTTGGTTAAAGTAGTAAGTACATAATGAGATAATGATTGCAATATCTATGTAATGGATTACATATGACAATTATGAATTTTGGTTCAGACTTTAGCAAGCATCATGGAAAGGTTGACATGCTTGATTTGCATGATGATATTATATCGTGTTATATATTTTTTTAAAGATTTGGGAAAAAGGTGTCATGCTATCTCAGTGTGTTCGTATGATTAGTGTGGGGATGAATCGACCTTTGGCAGTCTTACTTTTGACAAGCACTTGCATGTTTGGTTTCGGCGTGCGGGCTGGATCACTTTGCAAGAAAAGTGCACCGCAACTGCCACTCAACCACATCAAAGGGCCAAGTTGGGGTGTGACGCTGCGCGCGCGCGCGTGTGTGTGTGTGTGTGTGTGTGTGTGTGCCTAATCTTGTTTCATACAATGCAATACACTACATCTTTATTGATATGGCACTTTCACGACAACCGCAGCTGTAACAAAGCGCTTAACGGAACATTTTTCTTTCATGGCTGCAGCCCGTCACTCCAGTGAAACCGCCTTTGGTGGCAGAGTGGGGGTCAGGGGTCACCCCCCGCCTGGACCCTGACACCATATCCAAACATGTCAAACAGATGGTGGATGTAAGTACAACACACACGAGGGACATCAGTCAGCATGACCTGCATTTGAGTATGTTCGTGTGAGAGCTTTTCAAGTATGTTTCAGTATGGGAGGATTTTATTTCATGTGATTTGACTTTGTGTGTATGAGGGTGTTTCAGTTGTCTGAAAGAGCCTTTCAGTTGTGTGTGTGTGTGTGTGTGTGTGTGTTTGTGTGTGTGTGTGTGTGCGCGCGCGTCTCTCATTCACAGGAGTGAGTGTGAGAGATTTAGTATATTATATGAGAGCAGTTTGACATGTGACATTTGTGTATGAGAGCAATTCAGTTCTGTGAAAGAGGATTTCAGTTGTGTGTCACAGCGTTTCAGTGGGTGTGAGAGTGTTTAAATAGTCCTGAGAGAGTATTTTAGGATGAAGTGTGGGAGGATTTTAGTTTTAAGTTTGGGAGCATTTCAGGTGTGTTAATTAGAATTCAGTCTTGTAGAAGTCTTACAGTAGCGGTGTGAGAGCATTCCTTTCGCATGCAAAAAGAAACCAGTAGTTGTATGTGTGAAAGTTTCAGTGTGAGCGGAAACAAAATCAGCAGCTACTGCGACACTTTCAGGCTACTTAAAGACTTTCACACACACAATTCAGAACACAATGCCATTGTCGTGAAAACCTACTGAAAAGCTTTCTCACACATAAATGTAATTGAAAGAGAAATGCTTTCACACACACTACAGAAAACCCTCTCACACTCTTCTTGTATGCTTTCACATGCATGAACTGAAATACCTGCTCTCTTACTCACTACTGAATCTCTCTCTCTCTCTCTCTCTCTCTCTCTCTCTCTCTCTCTCTCTCTTTCCCTCTCTCTCTCTCTCTCACACACACAGTTGGATTTCAGTTGGCTGTGTTAGAGGATTTCAGTTCTTGTGAGAGTGTTTCGGTCTTGTTCATGTGAGAGGCAATCCTAAATTAGCAAACGTCACTGACGGCCACTCACACAATTATGCACACCAGATTTTCACTTCCTTATTCGACGGTAGCTCAAAGGAGAAGTAGTCAACACGCTTCTCTTTGTCGCCCCCTTCAGTCCATCATGAAGAACTATGACCACAAGCAAGACGGCTACATCCCGCTGGAGGACTTTGAGAAAATTGCCGCCAACTTCCCCTTCTCATTCTGCACGCAGCAAACTGACAGGTGACACTATTCGCATTACATCACGACAGCAGAGTATACACCTTTGAGTAAAGATTTGGCCACAAAACCGACATTTTCAACTTTCAACTTTCAAATAAAATAAAATAAAAATGTCCTCCATTCTCAGGCAGGGTCAAATCAGCCGAGAGGAGATGACATCGTATTTCATGCGCGGGATGTCAGTTTGCGCCAAGCTGGGCTACAACTTCAACGATGCGCACAACTTTCACGAGATCACGTACAAGAGACCCACCTTCTGCGACACCTGCGGTGGCTTTGTCAGTCTTTTACATCAATCCCAAGAAAACACAAATACAATTTGAAATGAAAAAAATAAATAAATAAATCACACTACTGTATCGTGTTACAGCTGTGGGGGGTCATCAAGCAAGGCTACCATTGCAGAGGTAAGTACGTATCTCTTCCATTCATTCCATTTTAAAGAAACAGAGGCAAAATGGAGTACACTGCTCGACCCCCAAAGGATAATTGAAAATAAAAATAATTAAAGCTAATGAGGGTTTTGGGGACGATTGTGTCCAAGGCCCCTAAAATACGTTATACACCCATACACATTTTTTTTTTAAATCTGGTGCATATTTGACGATGTTAAAGCACCCAAAAGAGTAATTGTGATCTATATACTACTAATAATTAAAGCGACAGAGCCTTGAAAAAGAGCAGCTTCAAATAAAAATGGCTGATAATCTCTGGGACAATACTTCAAATTTTGCTCAGATAAACGAGCAAAAAAACACCGAAAAAAAATCATAGTCATACTAATAATTAAAGCTGCAAATGCCATTAAAAGTGCACCTTCAAATCAAAATGGCCGACTACTTTGGCACAGCTAAAATCCTTATAAATGATTGCCGGTATACATGTGTTAGCAAAATATGGGTGGTTTTTACAATCAGTTGAAACCATTTTAAGTGCCCCTGTGTGGTGAACACTATCTGCTCTTTCTTCATTTTCCTGAAACTTGTCATGAATTTTTGAGTAAAGTCTCCCAAAAGTATAGGAGCAATAATCATAATAATAATAATAATAATAATAATAATAATAATAATAATAATAATAATTAAAGCTACAAATCCCTGAACAAAACTACCTTCAAACCAAAATAGCCAACTACATATATTCACAGTCCCTAAAATTATTTGTGCAATTTTAGTTTTAGTTTCATAGATTCAAAAGCAGGTACGGGTCTTGGCAGGGCTTCAGTGCATTCACTCACCAATTGTTTGTTGAGACGAGGAGGTCGGGAAGTGGACTAGGGATGGTGGATGGCTTGATGAGTGGAGAATATCCCAACTATCATGGTCTTTACATGCTTGAAAATAACGTAAAATGTCAAAATAATGCGTTGAAGGTCAATTTATGCTTTAATGAAAAATAAATTAAAGCTTATCTAGCCAAGAGGCCTGCTTCCACGCACACAAACATGACTTCAGACAGCCATCTTACTTTTAACCCTTGACCCTTGCAAAGAGTGCACACCTCTAACTGCAGTAGCCATACTTGGCCAGGTGGGGGCACACTCGGCAAAAACAACCAAGCTCCGTTCAAGAGTTCAAGAGTTCAAGAGCGGAACTATAGTGGAATGTAAATGTAATTTTAAAAAAATAATAATTAAGGCTGTATTCCTCATCAGGGTGCGGGATGAACTGCCACAGACACTGCCGGGATCTGGTGGGGATGGAGTGCTTGAAGAAACACAAAAACACCAGCGGCTCCTGCCCGTGCACCCCCGCCCCCGACTCCCGAGCCAAGGGGAGCGTGTGGAGTACCGGTAGGTGGACCCCTGCGGACTTCCTACATTCTACCATGCAACAACAACCACCCACACTTGTGTCTCCCCCCCACCCCTCGTCAGGTTCTGAGGATGAGGCCTTTGTGTTCCCCCATGGCAACGACTCAGAACACCACAAGGGCTGCGCCCCCTTTAGGAAGAGCACAGACCATGTAGGTCTGTGGGACCGCGCCACTCAGACAGACCCTGGGGTATGGACCCCCCAGGAGAAGAAGGAGCGCCGGGTGTACAACCACAACGCCCCTGGCCAGGTGAGACACTAAGCTAGTACCTGGATTTAAATTGAATATAAAGTCTACACACACCGCGTTTCAAATCCCAGTTTATTGGGATGAAAAAAATAATCACAGCATAAATCACATAAACATTTTTTCATCTCAAATGAAAGAAAATATTTGAACAGGGCAATTTCATAAAAGCCACTGAGATAATATGCTTGCACAAGTGTGCACACCCTCAGATAACTGGGGATCAACCAATGCCATTCAAACTTGGGTTGATGAAAGTCAACACACAGCTGCTGACATTTCAAATGCCTCAGATTAAACCCAAATGAAGTTTAGATGTTCTTCTAGGTTTTTGGACAGTTTTAACACGTACATCTGGACTTTTTATACCCATGGTATGAGTCGAAGTTGAATTTATTTCTACAGTGCATCCCTCCATCGGTCGTCAATTATTCAGATTTTTCCTATTTGTGGGCTGGCTTGGCTCCTATCCAGCCCAAATAACTGGGGTCCGCTGTACATCAAATCACTTTTTCCTGTTGAATGGAATTAAAAAGCAATTAATCCTTTCCCGGCCCCGCCCCAAAAACACAGAAATACAGTATTTTGTTCGGTGTTTTTTAATAAACAGAAAACTAGCACAGTATTGTATTAAAAATAATCATTAAAAAGCCAATCTAAAGAAATATTACACATACGTGTGTGTGTGTGTGTGTGTGTGTGTGTGTGTGTGTGTGTGTGTGTGTGTGTGTGTGTGTGTGTGTGTGTGACGCCTGTCAGGCCAACACGCTGCCACCTCCCAGGAGTCGCGGGTGCTCCATGCCCATCTCCTTCCTGCATGAGAAACTGGAGGAGCTTCACCTCTGCAAGGAGAAAAGCCGGGAGCCCGATTGACCACGGGCAAAAGATGAACTTTCCTCTTCTCAAACGGACAGCTTCATTGTGTTTTTGCTTCCCGTTTAAATTAAGGACACTGTCAACTTGTTGTACTCTTGTCATGTTGTCTCTGGTGCTACATTTCTTGGAAATATCACGTGAGCAGTTTCCGGATCCAGAATTGAGTCCATGGAGGGAAATGAACACTAAAGCAGAATTCCCATTCATTATTATTATTTTTCCTAAGTGTGGCAGCTACCACAAAAATCTGTTCGAGGAGACATGGATTTTGTTTTTGACCATTTAAAACAGTTCTCGTGTTTTAATATAATTTCTGTGATTTCTTTTGGTGAAAATACCCCAAGGATGAAGAATTTAAAAAAAGAAAAAATATATACTTTGACGAAATACGCCTGGTTTGAGGGGGCGGTTCTGTCTCGCCACCCCCCACATCACCCCCCCCCCATATACCACTGAGCCAATGGCAAGCAGTTTCATTACCATGGCAACTATGGTGGGACAGAAGCCCCCCAAAGACAGTGAAAGCATGGGCAGCACTTCATCAATAAGCCACCGAAGAACATTTCGTCAGTGTGCGATACGTGACTGTGGAACACATAAACTTAAGTCATGCTGAACAAAAATATCAACACTTGTTTTTGCTTGATCTTGAGCTGAACTCAATTTTTTTTTTCCTCTGCACGCAAATGGTTTCCTTTACAAATACTGTTCAGAAATGTGAGTGAGCACTTCTCGTTTGCCGAGATAATCCATCTGACAGGTGTGTCCTTTTATCGTGTGCAGCCTAAGGCACACTTGTTCCATTATCATGCCGCCAAATTGGCATCATGATTTGCCAACTGCCCGGCCGGATAGCTTGTCGGCAAAGGACACTAATATGTCTGTCAGAGATGGGCCTTTTGTGGAAATATAAAGCCCTTTGACTTCAAGCTCATGAAAAAATGGGAACAATAGGTTGGTGTTAGTTTTTAATAAACAAAATAAAGCAAACTCCCCCTTTAAGAGTACTGCATTCACATTTGTCATTAGCGACCAGTCCAGGGCGTACCTCACCTCTTGCCCACATCAGCTGGGATTGGCTCCGGGTCATCCTAATGACGACAAACGCTCCAGAAAAAGGACAACTACACAAAAAAATTGAAACACAGAAACGTTTCATCCAGGTGTATACAACTGCATTTATTGTAGAAAGACAACAAACATCAGATTTTTCACACTGGTACAAAATCATATATTGGGGGAATGTAATGGGATTTAAACTACAGCTACCACAAGAGGATTATATTAAAAAAAAGGAAAATGCCTCTACCAAAAAAGTGCCTCTAAAATGGCGGTTTCGTTATGTGTGACTGAAAACAAAAAAAAGTCAAAGAAAAGTAAAAAGCATGCTTTTGTTCTCTACCTCCCCATCTCAATTGTTTACTGCTGCTGCGACAAGCCACCTCTCCTCTCATCCCCAAAAAAGCATTTTAAGGGTTAGCATGAGGCGAGCTAGCATCTATCACCACGCCACCACTTTACATAAGACTGATTAAGAAGGGGAAAAAAACAAGATGGTGAGGAGGAGGAGGGTCATGGGGGCATAGGTCAACACACGCGAAGGGGCTTTGGTGTGGAGAACTACTGGGAGCCGGAAGACGAGCCTTGGCTGCCCTGTCCAGGGTAGCCGCCATATTGGCTGTAATACTGGTTCCACTGGCTCTGGTTCTGGTAGTACTGCTGCCACTGCTGCGCATACTGTGAGGAAAAACACATTACATTTCAGAATGGGTAATTAGTTGGTCAAGTTTGTATTTCTTCGGTTCTGGTACTGCATTAAGTAATACGTTTTGGATTTTATTTATTCATTTATTTTTTAAAAATATTTTTCATTTTGTTCTGCCATTTATTTTAATGTAGTTGTTAGAGCAGGCTTGCTTATTATTTATTCCCCCCCAAATAAAAACGCTTTGTTTGAATTTTTATTAGTTTTAGGACAAGTTTTATTTTATTTATTTAATATGTGGAGTATTTTTAGAGTGTGAGATAATAATTAAAAAAAGTTAAAAGTTTTGTGAAATTAAGTTAACTTTTCAAGATACATTTTTTGCACCGATTCTGAGTCTGCCGTTGTTTTTTCTCTAGCACATGCATGGTAAAATCTGTGTTGTTGAAGAATTTAATGGTAAAATTTAAATCCCCCAAAATGGATATCTTCCAAAAATTGAATGTGCCAGGAAAATAAGAGATTTTTTTTTTTTTAATCAGCATTAAAAATACCTTTCGGGACACATCCCTGATTAAAATTAGCTGTTGACCAATGCGATTATAGTTTGTTTTATAAACCTAAAATGTAGTTTCAGATAAGTTTTAGTTTAAAAAAAAAAAAAGTATTTGTTTTCATTTTATTCCATAAACGAAAAATGTTATTTTAATTTTTCTTTGTTAGTTTTTGTTAACTATGAATAACGCTGGAAATAAGCCTTCAACTCAATTTTAAGTGCTTTGTTCCACTGTATAGTTAAGACGTGTTTGCACGCTCACTTGCTGATATTGCTGGTTGTAGCTTTGCTGCTGTTGCTGCTGCTGAGGCGGGGCCTGGTGCTGCTGGGAGGGGGCCTGATGCTGCTGAGGGGGAGGCTGGTGGTGGCCGTAGGCGCCGGCGGCGGGCTGGCTGTAGCTCTGGCTGTAGCCCGGGTATTGACTGTAATTGCCGTAATAGTTCTGGTTGTAGCCGCCCTGGTTGTAGCCGCCCTGGTTGTAGCCGCCCTGGTTGTAGCTGTGGCCGTAGCCCTGCGAGGAGATGGCGGGTGGAGGAAAAGTGCAAGCATGCAAAGTGAGCAAGGGGACCAAGGTGCAGCACTGAACCTTTAAAAGTACGGCGAATCATCGCCACAATGGCAATCTGCAAGTAATTTCTGAGTAACTCGGTCTAATTGTTTCGAATAAGAAAAATTTGCATCTCCCCCCCATAGAAGTTATTCTCGAAGAAACTTTTCGGGGTCCTCTTTCCAATGTGCTCTAGATGCCGCCAAAGCACAGTCTAAATAGGAATTGCTGTCAAGTGACTAGCCTAAAAAATAAACGTCATACAGATTATTCCATTTAGAAAAAAATATACAGTGGCACATGTATTCCTCCTTCACAACCCATCAAAACGGCAACTCTCAAGCAACGATACCTCCATCGGGAGGTTTGCTTGCGCTTTTGATTAGCCACTCCGCAGAGCAAAAACACAAACATGTGGTGAAGACTCTCTGGAACTTATGCTAAAAGACTTGAGCTAAAAGCTCCTGAACATACTTTTTTGACAACAATTACTACGAGAGGCTGACCAATGTGCTTTTGGGGACCATGGTTATTACCTCAATTAGACGGGGAGCCGACCTTTTGACAACACCCAACAGATTGGCTGATGTATGACATGATAGACAGAACACAAACTCTTTATACCCAGAAAAAGATTGAAGACAAAGAAGCAAACCACTACTAAATTAAAAAAGGGCAACTTGAGCAGCTGTTTTAAGCAGGTCTTTGGCGCCGCCTTGTTTTCATTTTCGGGCGCTTCAGAAGAAGCACCAAAATAAGCTGATAAGATATGAATAGGCGAGATTGTTCATAACTCGATGAGGCTGGGTTGCAGAGAAAAACGTGCCAACGGGTCAATTTGTCAATAGTGAAGCGGGAAGAGGCGCTTACCTGGTTGTAGCCGCCCTTGTTGTAAGGAGACGGCCGGTTGTAGCTGCCTCCCGACGAATGGCTGCGATATCCGGAGCGGGAGTCGGAGCCGCCGTCTCTGTAGCCGCCGCTGTTACCGCCCCAGCGGTTCTGACCGTAGCTTCCCCGATTGTAGCCTACCAAAAGGAATTCATGGAAGGCCTGTCATTTTGGCACCTCCACGCCAGATACACTGGAAGTCCAGTCCAAAACATACGTTAAAATGTGCATGTACAGTATGAACAAGGTAGTCTCATTCATATTGCATTGGTGGATGAAGAATTAAGCAGATTAATGCACTGGTTTTCAGCCAGCCAAGGAGGTGGGCATTTTATGCAGCACCGCCCCCTGCTGTCGACTTGAAATTGACCTCAAACTGCCTTTGGGCTTCCGTTGCAAAAACAGGAGAGGATATTAAAATGTCATTTAAAAAATCACCTGTATATATCGTTAAAGGTTTTATGACATCAACAGTTTGACCCTGGAACACTTTTAAACATACCAACATAATTTCCAATGGGAAAAATGGTTTGAAATCAAGACTGCCACAAAAATGATTAACCGCTTACCTCTGTAACCTCCCGGGTCTCCACTGCGGTTCTGGTAGCCGCCGCCGCCTCCACGGGGCGCGTCGCGGCTGTCATAGCGCGGGAAGCTGCCGCGGCCGCGGTAGCCGCCCTGACGGTTGTCAAAGCGCTTGTCGGGAGGCGGTCCCGCCTTGCGCCCCTCGTCATTGTACTGCTTTACCAGCTTCTCGGCATCGTCACACTGCAGCTCCACGTAGGTGACCGCCTCCAGGAAGTCACATGCTTCCGGCAGGGTGAAGTTGGCTTTTGGTTGGGGGCGACGCCAGTGAGGGATTGAGAGGAAAAGACAAGAGATGCAGGGGAATGGGAAGGGGAGGCAGTGAGGACCAGAGCAGCCACACCACCAAAAGACAAAACACAAAGTGGAGACTAATTAGTGCCACGCAGAGGAGGCGGGAAGAATATAAAGACTAGGTAACAAGGAGAAAACATTCCCTCCATGGAGGCAACATTTGTGGAAACAGACACAGGGGGGGGGGGGATTTTTTTTTAGGGGGGGTCTTTAGGAAAGGGCACTGCAAACCAAGGACAGCGGAGCGCAACAGTAAAGTGGATGGAAATCAATCATGGACAGTAATCCCCTTTATTGGGACTGACACGAATAGCAAAAGAGTGCAAGTAATTGACGACCACACAAAGATGTTTATAGTTAACTAATCGAGTAGTTTGACCTGGAAATACAACAAAAACTACGATGCCCCAAACTCTTAATAGGAGACATCTTACAACATTGGCTGTAATAAAAAAATGGAAGACATTTGATTATTATTATTATTGAAAAAAAAAAAGCCATAAGCACGAGTGTACATGTGTAGAAAATGCTCCATAACAAGCCAGGCTAAACTTAGCAACGCACCGACACATAAAAGCTGGGCTCTCAATCAAAATGGTGATTTGTATCACCCAAAAAAAAAAAAAATTAAAAAAAAAGACTTTTTTTAATTGGGAGTTCAGATATCTATTGAAATACATACATAAAATCTGGTCAAAAGACGACCTGCAAATTAGAGTAAAAAAGGAAACATTTCTCACGATGTCTCCTGTACGTATTTCGATGGGGTCCAAAAGTAGAA